GAGAATCATAAATTATATGTGAATAATATAGTTCATACATTAATTCAGAAACAGGTCTACAATAATACTTCACAACCTCTGAGTCAAGTCTTTTAAACACATTTTAGACATTCTAATGAACAAGAACAAAATTTAATTGACTCCTGCTGAACATTAGTAGCTGTGGTACTGTTTGAATCAAGACTTCATAATACTTTGCAAGTTGCAGTCCTATGCCAACTTCTGGTAAAAAGAAGCCAAACTGACACGAAACAAAATGGTTAAGTTTGCATATGATAGGCCAGCAAACTTTTACCTTTTTAAATTCAGCCAATTCAGTTTCATATACGACTGGCAGAAGAGCATTAACTTTAATCAGAACTAGACTTGTAGAGGCTCTCTGAAACACTGCTCAGCATTCTTTAATCCTTTACCACTGCAGCAACACTACTCCAGCATCATTATTCTATTCTACCTGTCAGCAACATTACGTGATGACTGAGCATCATTACATAGAAATGCACACAAGAAAATTCACTTCATATTTATTCCTCTCTTTCCAGTCATTCTAACCGGAAGTAAAAAAAATAGAGGATATGGCTTTGCCTCAGTCTTCTCTTCACATTAGCAGGAGCGAAATTTCAGGGAAGAAAGAAATTTAACCATGAAGAACAGATGGGGACAGAAGGAGTTTTAAACTTTTATTACAAGTTGACATATACTCAACACAAAGCCTTAAAGAAATACAAAAGTATAAACTCACATTAAGAATTTCATCTTTACAGAATACTAAGGCTTCAGGTTGTTTGCCAGAAGGAAAAGCTTTTTCAAAAGCTACTTTTGCAGCAGAAGCAGCAGGGGAGTAAGTGTCACATTGAGCAATCAGCCAGTATCCCATGATACTTTTTAAGTAAGGAGCTAAGTGTTTCTTTACTTTAAGAATCAGTTGCTCAAAAGATTGCTGAGTTGCTTCTCGAACACGGCGATCATGATCCTGTTTAAAAAAAAAAAAAAGACAAAAAAAGGTTCATTGTTTTAAGAAATGTACCTTTGATGCCAGGTACTTCAAAGCAGAAGTAATGACAAAAAAAAAAAGCTGTCTCTCAGTTCAGCCATTTTTGCAATGAATTGGGCTATATAGATTTGAAAATATGCAACAACAATGACAAAAAAGTCTTCATATCCCTAGATGAGGGGAGAGTCCTAACTTAGCAGCACTCTTTCCCAGTGCGTTGTACATTCAAAATTGTAACCTTTTCCTGATATCCCTAACTACAGTTTCTATTTCATACAAGCATTTAACAGAACGACAAGAGGCAAGAGAAACAGAAAGCTCTGAAGACATTTTTTGGATTAAAACGACCATAAACCTACACAAACTGTGCATCGCTATCCATTATTTGTGTATGCATTTACAACATCATGACTTTCTATGCTCCTGGCTTCTGAAATACTTATTAGGAATTGCTCTAACGGATCAGAATAGTGATTCATTTTGTCCAATATCACGTTTCCAACAGTAGCTAGTCCAGAATGTTTGGATATATATTAAATATATCAGTAAATATATCAGAAAACTATGGGTTATCTGGCTACACATGGCCTTTTCATGTCGGGGTGGGGGGGGGGGAATATTAAGTCTGGTCAGATATTAGTCCTAGATCAAAAAGACTTATTACTATGTTAACTGAACAGTACATTCTCTTTAGCTGTTCTGGAATCCACATAAAAGAACTTTTCATGAGAAGAAATATCTTGTCATCTTTTTAACATAAAGGTCTAACAAAGAGCTACCTCCATCCAGCAAGTACAGCCCAGGCATTAACAGTTCAAGATTCCACCCACTGCCAATACTGAAACACCTCCACAATAAAGAATACTACTTTCCTTCAACTTCAAGTTTTTCCTAGAACAAGCCAGTAATTCCAACAAAGTCAGATATATCAATAAAGACTGCCTTAGAGGTTTTCACAGGAAGTATCCAGAGAAGGTTTTAATTTAAATACTTTAATACTTACTAGTGAGATTTTACAATAAATTCTTGGCCAGTAAGGAAGAACACCTTTAACTACTTCCACTTCTCTTTCCTTGCACATTGTTCCAAACTCTTGCATAGCCTAAAATCAAGACATCAAGTGCATGATTTAAGAACTCAGACAGATATATTCTGCAATTTACCAGCTTCTATTAGACACTTCAACTCCCTTTTTCAAAAACCAATTCATTTCTTGCAGCTGAGCATCTAGAGAGTTCATTTTATGAATGCTCCATCAGCACTGCATGATGGACCTTCTTGTAAGTCCTCCAAGATACCTTCTGGATTGCAGTTCTAGCAAATTTATCAATATGAAATTAGTACTAGCTACCTTGATATATTCCTCCCCCATCCTTAAGAAAAATGTATTGTTTTCCAATAAAAATTTTTTATGAGGGACAAAGGTTACACCTACTTTTAATTTTGTTGTGATATCCCTTTTAGAAAGTTTTCGCAACACCATTCGAAAGTCAGCATCCACAAGGCTGTCTATTTCCTCTGCTCCTTGAACTGCAGGAATGTATCCTAGATCACTCTGAGATGTTCCAAAGCCAATAAACCCAGGCACTGTTCCACGTTCTTTGGCGAGGAGCTCTGCAGCTCGGCCACTGCTAGAAGGCTGACAAAAAACAGGGACCTAAGTCAGTTACCTATTTCAGTCACTTGATTTTGTACACATCATGCATTTGAAATAATGATCCTATTTATATTGTATAATTAACCTTCTATTTAAAACAAAGTCTCAGAAAAAAAAAGCCCACCTGTGCTTTAAACATAGAAGTTTGACCTAGAAGATTATTCTTCTCTTTAGAGTCAGCATCCCCGTGTTTTCTCATAATCCATGAATACTTACGGAAAGTTCTATTGGTTTTATACATGTACAAAAAAGCATAACAGAAATGTCCTTCTGCAAGTGAACAATTTAATAAGAAACCATTTACCCTCCTTCACTACTTCTGTTTTTACTAGTTCTTCTCATGTTATTGCATATGGACCAATATAGCTCCGCAGGAATGTTCTTTGTATCGTTGGAAAAAATAAGAACACACACAAAACAAAGGATGCTACCAGCAACAAAGGGGCTGAGAAGCATTTAGAGAAATGGAGCAAAAGGGTACGTATGTAATACAGTATAATACCACTCCATTAATACAACAGTGAGTGTTTTGGAGTGCAGCATCTCTTCTAGTTTGCCCCAGTTAAGTCGACACCTTGCTCATCATATCAGTGGCTCGTGTTTATTTCAACCACACTCTTTTGAAAAGACTGCCCCAAAATTGACTGATGCTTTAATGTTCTCTGTGACACCTTATAGTCCAAATACCTTTTATTTCCTAATGACAGTTGCAGTTATGTGAGTTTGTTGCATTTTTTTTAAGTAATGACAGTTTGATGAAGTTCACCATACTTTTCTGATCTTCTTGAAGTACGTAAGCCACATTTTACCTGACTACTTATATCTACAGTAATCTGTAGTCGTTTTTTCTGCATGTGAAACCTCACCTATAAGGACACGCTTCTTTGTGTTCCGTAGCCTTCTCTAAATACACGCGAAGGAGAAGAGTTGTAAGAATTGCATAACCTGAACACAACGCTTCACCCACAATTCTCCCATCCTGAGCAAGCACCATATATGACAGATGTCACACCACTTCAGGCCCGGTGGCAAGACGGAGACACCACAACAGGTGTACTCTAAGACTCTCCACAGAAAAACACACTAAATGTACCCGCCGGTACCTTGCCGAACTTACACCCGTGGTGATTCGCGGTTCTCCCGCCCTCGCCTCTCTCTGATTCGCAGTTACACCCTCCCACCCTCGCCCCTCTCCGCAAAACGCGTACAAACGCCCCAGGAATTTGCAGCCACGCTCCCCCGCTAAGGCACCGGCCCAGGCCAACAGTCGCCCCCGAAGCCCGGCGGCGGCCCCGGCCCCAGCTACTGCAACCGGGCCCGAAGGCAACGCCGCCTCCCAGCCGGGAGAGGGCTTCGGCAGCCCCCCGCCCCC